ATGATTACAGAGAGAATTTTTGGCCTCATCCCTCTCTCTTGCCTTAATATGATCCTCCCAGCCTTGACCTGGACCCTGGGAAGGCAGCAGGGCTCACTGGCTCCATGTGCAGCTCCCTTGTGCTGTTTTCTAGTGCTCCATCACTGCCGGCCATGTGTTGGGGTTAACAGGGGTGTATCCCAAATATCCTGGTGGGCTTATACAGGTATTTTTAAGAAACTTAATTATACCAAGTGTACAGCCTGTCTAAAGAAGTGTAAAACTCATGGCCACAGAGGTGCCTTGGTTTAGCCAGTTTTGGGGTATAGGGTGGTGGGGAACAAGGTTTGCTTGTGCAGATATAGGTGAGTTAGGTGGTGAAGTTTGTTGGGTTTTTTATGTTGTTGTTTTGGGGTTTTTTTAAAGAAACACATTTGTGTTACACTGTTTTCTCCAGTAGTTGTCATTACCAGCACAGCTATTACAGCACACACAGGCTGTTATTTGTCCTTAAGAGCTGAGAGACTGGAATTCCCCTTCTTTTTAATAATGTGACTTTTAGCAGGACCAGCGGGTTGTGAATTAGTACTTCATTATGGGCTGACATCAAACAGAGTCCCCTCTTCAGAATTACCTACTCAAGAAAACAGTTTAGAATTGGTTGTCTGACTCATTTAGGTACTTGAACATCCTACCAATACAGAATTATATATAAAGTATATTTAACAAGTTCTGCAGCTCTGAATAACAATGAGTCTAATGAAGCAATAGAATAAATATATTTGTGGCTCTTAAGGGACAATTATGTTTGTAGAGCTTGAATCCTTGTTCTACAGTTATCAAAACATGGTAGAATTGCAAATAAACTTGCTTTGACAATGAACATCAGTTGGTACAAGTGTAATACAATGCTTAGGTGTTGCTGGACTTGGAAACCTAAAAAAAAAAAAAAGTAGGTGAAAAAAAAGTGAATCCTATTTCTCTCACAGTGAATATGTCCTGTGATTACTTGAAAGAATAAATAGAAGTTGGTATAAATTTCTAGCAGTGTCTGCTAATCTTAGGAAGTTCCTCCATGCAGGTATGTGTGTCTAGAGGTGAAGCATCACACAGGTTTCTTGGCAAAATATGACATAACCCAGCGTTGCCACAAACCAGGAGTTGTGTGTCTGGAGCATCTTTGTCATCAGAAATTCTCAGAGTTTTTCATAGCATGATGTTCTGTGTCTTTTCAAAGCAGGGTTGTAATATTTGATCTGATCTTACCTGAGCTGTTTGCTTTCCTTTCCTTGCTTACACAAGATTACAGAAACCAGGAACATCCCAGAAGGTGCTTGCAGTGAAGTGCAGTGGATGTGCTCACCAGGCGAGTGCTCTGCAGATGAAGTTCATTTTTATTCTGTTATAAAAATGTCAGTGTGGTTTTAGCCTGTTTTACCTTCCACAGATGCTTCAGGTTCTGATTTCCCCTCATGAATTCACAAATCCACGTCTTTTAATTGTCGAGGGTGTCACATGAGCTTTTAAAAGCTGCTCTTCCAAATGCATCAGGCAGTTATTGCAGATTTGATACTCATGTTACTGCTACTCCATATTTTGGATTCTTTCTTTGCAACTTTAAGTCTTAGTGCTTGAGACTTAAAACTTGGCCTATTAAACAGAAGTAGGGAACCCAGTGGAATATACAGTCTTCACATCCTTGCTGTTTGTGTTGGCAGGAACATGTTTCCTTGTTCTCATTTTGGGGCAGAATCAAAGACTTTTCAATAAAGCTGAATTACATTTTCTCGCTCCATTTTATTGCAATGGCATCTGTATTTCAGTTGATATAACTTTATGTACTTGGTGCTAAAGCAATGAGGCAAATATATGTATTAGCAGGGGAAGGGAGAAGAAAATGCTGTTTCAGGAGTCAGAAACTCTCAGTTGCTAATTTTTTACTTTCTTCTGTATGGCAAACTATAAGCAGGCAATAAAAGCATTTAATTTGCAAATTACACAGTTCTAGATTGGTTTTGAAGTTGGATTTTTTTTTCCTTGTAGTCAGGTTTTTTTGTACCAGAATACTTTTCAGTGGTATGATTAGAGCCTTTGCCTGGTAGAGTTCAGTAATAAAGTTGTTAATTTTGTCCATGAGTGGCTGCATTTTAGATGAAAGGAGATTACAAGTGAGGCATAATAAATGCAAGTAAGAAGAAAAAAGATTTAGGCAAGAGAAACTAATGAAAACACTTTCTTCTGGTGACCAGTTTGAGAAGGTAGGTAAGTTTTAAAAATCTGATGATGAACAAGACAATCTGTAATTCAGTAGATAAAATACAGAAATACTTCATATGTGTTTTTGCCCTTTTCTATCAAACTAAACAGTGGGGTATTGTCATCCCATGGGGCACTGAAAAGCCAGTCCTGTTCTGACTCATCACTTCTCAAACCCATCTTCTGTCCTGTCCTGATCTTGGTTCTTTGTTTCCAGTTATGTTTTTGTCTGTTGAGACATTTCAACAGGATCAGAGCCTCTGATCTCAGAGATAAAAGTCAATCTGTAAAAATGAACAAGCCTTGCCATTATTAGCCCACCTTTTGAGGTACTCTGTTTACCCTACCAGTTTTCTGAGAACTGAATGTCCCTCTCCAGTGAGTTCATGTAATGGCCAGTTTTGTTAGAGGATGCAGCTCTACTCCCTGGTGTTATTGTGCTCAGGATACTTTATTAAAAACCAACCAAACAAAAGCCTAACAAAAAAGCCCAAGGATAAATAATCACTCTTGATATTCTTCCAAACAAGCCTGGCTTTGACCTTCAGTTCTCTGAATATACCACAGAAACACCTGAAAATCAGACCTGCATCTTGTTTAAAAGCACCCAGTACACTTTCCAAGGGCAGAGATTTAGATTTCATTGTATAATGCTAATAAAGAACTCTGCTACTGTTTTGCATGTTGATTTTCCATTATGTTCAAAGCAGTGCCAGACAATATGTAAAGAGAATATAGATGTATATAAATAAATTAAGTGATTATATTTTTGTAGCTCTGTGATTAGTTTGGTACTACTGGAAGGTAGGATGAAGAGCTCTCTACTGATTTGTGAAAAGTTATTCTTTTATTGTAGTATGGCTCATACTCTTCATTTTCAGATGGATTTTGTGTTGTTTCTTGTTTCCCAAAACCTTTTTTCCCCCGTGACAGCAATTTTCACTTGCAATCAGTGATTAATAACTTCTGCTGTACAACACTGGAACAGTTCAAACCACAGAGAGCTGGGTACCTGTGGGATAATGAGGATGTGCCTTCCAAATCCCTTGGCATGTCCCTTCCCGAGGTGCTCCCAGCCCAATCCCATGCTCATAGGGTCTGTTGAGGTTCTGAAGGTCTGTATTTCCCATAAAACACCAGTGCTTAGAAAGCACTGCAAAACCATTTTATTTTAGCTATGGAAGTTCTGTGTATTGCATAAGATTTATGGCTTGCAGTGGTTGTGACGGGGAAAAATGTGGTCTGAATTCATTTCATACATAAATTTTACCAAAACAATTATTATTTTAAAGTCCAAATGGCACAGCTGTTTTCATCCTGTACTGGAATAGTGTGTGTCCTCAGGGGTTCTGTCACCTCTTGGCTCTTCCTTCCATGACTCAGGGCAGTTTTGGTGGGGCAGCATTCCAGATGAATCTGGAATGTTCTTGGGGCCTGAGATGAATTTCATTTGGCTGGGGTTGTATGTGACTTCCACTTCATATCCAGCAGTTTATTCTGAGATGTACCTCCATGGAAATTCACTTGGGAAGCTGAAAACAGCTCTTTTAAGAAACGTTCCTGTGAACTTTGTGTGCAGTAACAAAGGATAACACAACAATATCCTGCTGCAGCATTAAGTGTGGGTTTTTTTAAATGAAGCATTGAAATTCTAATGGCTCTTGTTCAGTGTTCTGACTGTAACAGCTGTTGCTTTTCAGTATTAAAAAAAATACTGTATTTTGGGAAAATAGCTACTGTTTGTCAACTCACTGCTGCTATTACACTTGGTTATAAAGACAGCCTCGTTTAAAGACTGTGTGTTAGTGTCCTGTACAAGGTTATAAACAAACATGGGCTTTTTAAATTGTCTTCTGTTTGGTTTTGTTATGGAAAAATAATATGGTTTATTCATGGAAGAGCCTTTGTTAGTGTAGAACCTCAATCTTAGTTTGTTCTGCATGTTAAATCTAGCTTATTTCAAGGGTATAATGAGGCCATACTTTGTTGGATCTTGAATCAGTGGTTAAAGGGAAAGCTGATATAAATTTATGATAAAATATTTGCATTTATGTAAACTGTAGCATTTTTCTCCCCTCCAGAAGCATTTGGACAATGCTGTCAGGCACATGGTGGGATTTTTGGGGATGGTCCTGTGCAGGGCCAGGTGCTGGGCTCGATGATCCTTGTGGGTCCCCCTCCAGCTCAGAATATTCTGTGGCACTTACACAGCTTAAAATGATCACAGAGACCTGAGGCCGAGCAGGACAGATCACAGGGTCAACACACTGAGGTGCAGAGCTCCTGCTTTCTCCAGAACTTAGCAGTGTTCCAGGGATTCTCCTGCAGGGAGATTTGCCCTTTTCTCTTTAAAAAGATGCATCTCTGTTTTGGGAACAGCTGTGTTGTTATTTTGTGGTTGGTTAGAGGAGCTCAGTGGGATCTTGGTGGTGTTTTCATCAGAGCCTTCGCTGCAGAAGCAGCAGCAGTGGCTTAGGGACCTGTTTTTAAGTTACACTTATGGCTCCTTTTTGGTTACCAAAATTAGGGTAGCATAAGCCTAACAAAATTAGCCATGGGATCTGTCAAATTATATTGTTGCAAATTAGTTCAGTCCCTGTTCTGTCCCCCTCCCTGGTGTGGAACAGACACTTCTGCAGCTGCTCCAGAGAATGTGCCGGGTTTAGTTCCATAAGAGATGCGAGATCAGGGTTTGAGAACTTCAATCTCCTGCCTGTTGAGTCTTTTCTAATATCCACATCCCCTTTTCTTTCCAACACAGACCTCGAGAGCTCCAGGCCGAAGATGAGGAGCGCGGTGTCGGTGCGGGAGGGACAGGGGGTCGTGCTGCTCTGCGGACCAGCCCCCCGGGCAGGAGGTAAGGGACCCCCTGGCCTTCAGCTGGAGCTCATGGGGAAGGGGAATAGCCCTGGAAATCAAAATCAGAGATCCCCCAGAGAGAACAAGAATGAAATCTGGTTTCTAAACTAAACACAGAGAGAAAGAAACCAAAAAGAAAAGACGGGGGAGGGGAGTACTTAAGAGGATTTACTTCTATCTTGGAATCCTTTCTAGTTCCTAGTAATTTCTGTGCACTTAATGTGTCTGATTTTTATGGTATTTCCTGTAATTAATTGGGTATTTTCTGGAGTTAAATTCTGCCCAATTTCACAATTGCCAAGCCTCGATGAATCTACTTTTCTCTATGACTAGACAATTGCAGGGAGTAGATTGTTGTCTTTAATTATGCTGGTGTCTGCCTGTTTTCTTGCCATGGAGACATTCTGGGGTGTAATGTAATGATGCTGGTGTAATTTAAACCACTGCTGCATTGAGGGGGTGAGAAAACTAGATATAGACTGGATATGTGGATTCTTGGGGGACCAAAAGTTACAAGTACATTTAATCCCTCATTCTGCATCTTCAGTCTTTGACTAATTGCTATTGAGCCTCAAGTAATATTTGAAAGGAACTGGTTTTATTGTTTTTAATTGATATGGAGTGTCATTATCGAAGGACTGGGATGTTAAACATTGGATTTGATTGCAAAGACAAGGTAGTATAAGCTAGACATTGTATTCAATAATATAGGTATTGTGGCCTCATAAATTTGGCAGAGTCCAAGCAGACACAACCATAAAGTGGCAATTTTACAACTGTCTGAGCTTGCAGAATTTTTTTCTCCCTAAACTGATACATACTCTTAAATCATCTTTATAGCCTTGCAACAGCTTTGTCTTTTCAGCAGCTGAGAAAATGGGTCATTGTCCCAGCTATCTATATGAATTAGAATGATTAAATTTCTGCTTCTAGATGCAGCACGAAGTCTGAATGATCCCAGCTGTTCTCACACTCGTGTCCTGTGTGTGGGTTTATACCCAGAGGTGGTGACCAAACTGACAGCAACTCTGCCTGATTCTGGCAGTGTTTAAGTGTGAGGTGTTGAACAGGAGGTGATACAAAACATGCTCATGTTGCTGAGAACAGAGGTTTGAATGAACACGTGGCAGAGGTGAGAATTCCTTCTGCAGTCAGCAGATGGGATGTGATTGACACCCCCCACACTAATTGTGTTATTCCTGCAGAAAAGAGAGAGCTGAGTGCTCCCAGAATTACCAAATAGAACTGAGAATTGGTACCAGAATTACTTAAAATCCTTGGATTTGTCTGAGGGGATAGAGGATTAACTATTGAAGTTTTCAGCAAGCGTGGAGAAAGGTGAAAAAAGTCCCCCTTCTTTCTTCACTAAAATAAACCTGTAGCACAGTGACATCAAACATGCAGTGCCCCCAGATCTGACATGGCAGGATGCAGGTCAGTAAGTCTTGGATAAAATACCCATCCATGAAGCAGAAGTAGTTTGTTAGGAATAGCAGGGATGGTTTAGGAGCAGCAGACCTGCCCTGACGGCTGTTCAGCCCTTTCCAGATGAGTGATCTGACTTTTTTTTTTTTAATCTTTGGTACTGTATTTGTTGCATTGAGCTGTCAAATAATTTCAGACAATACTAATTCTAAAAACCTTCTCAAACAGCTTGTTTTCTCTTCCCCCCTCAGCACCCCAAATACTGTTCTTTTGTCTTCCCTCATGTTGTGCAGTTTCTAAGATCTCACCAGCTTAATTGCATGTATTTTCTGCATTCTCTGTAAGGAGTCTTCAAGAAGAGACTTGATTAAATGGTGATTATTCCTTCACATACAGCATTCCAGTTACAATAGAAACCAATGTTCAACCCCAAAGAAACGCCAGCTCAGAGTATGGAAAAAGAGAATTGCCTCTCTTCTACAATTTGGCATATTTTTTTCTTTGCTTATTTTTAGCACAGATATTTACATAAGTCATATGAATGTCCCTTTTCAATGGGGAGCAAATTGTTCTTGCAGTTCACAGTAGTTTTGTCCTTTTGAATTCTTCAGTTCCAATTCCATCAGGGCATGGACATCCACCATTTAAACCAACAATGGAACTCCGTTTAACTCCCTGCACATCAGCTCATGTGCTGAGCCTGTATTTTCACTTTGTGATGGCTGTTGTTGTGCAGGGGAGGAAGATGATGTTCTATATTTCCAGTTGAGGGTGTACAGATATTTTTTATATTTCTGTCATAAAGCTTGAGCTCTAACACAAACCACTCCAATACTTTCCTTAGAGCATTTTCCCTTCCTGGCATTCCCTTTCTAAGCAGTCTGGTTTGGGATTGACTGAATGGGAGACTCAGTAAATGACTGGCTTTGTGTAAGAAGAATTCCCCTCCAAATATTTTACTAATTCAGCCTGGTTTTATGTTCCTATTGTAAGTTGAATCATCATTGAACAGTGATTTTTGGATAATTAAGATGGTCCTCTGCCACAGTTCTGCATGGCCATACTTCTGGATATTTTAGCTCTGTTAAAATACCCTGGGTTTTGCCACAGATCAGTAAATCATCTCGCCCACATACTCAAAAGAGGGAATGACATCTAAAATTGATTTATGTAGATCTCCTGCTACTTTTTCTGTTGTTATAACCTTTAAATTGTACTTAACTCTCTACAGCTATTTCGATTTTTACTGTGTTGCTGTTATATTTTTAATGCTTTTAAAGGACTGTCAATACAACAAACATCTCAATGTACAAAACTTAACGTTGGACACAGTTAATGTGCAGCTGGTTAAAAAACATTCATGCGATGCTAATTTTTTCCCATTCTGCCAAGAATGGAAAAGACCAGACATATGGAGAGCTAAAAATGATTTTTCTCTGCTATTGATTTGGTTCCAAAATCAGTATCTAACGAGTGACAAAGACCTCAGTAAAGCAAATCTGCAAGTTCCTTTGGGGTTTTACCTACTGTTACCACTTGTGTTGTGATTACTGTGTAGCTTGTCTTCAGCTCTTATTTCTTTTCTCCAGATATTGTGATTTATATCTGGTTAGTACAGTCAGTTTTACTCATCTGACACTGGTGTTGGATTTATGAGGTATTTCTGCTCTTGGAGAGAGGAGGAAGGAGTGTGGCCTAGTCCTTTTATGTTGTCTGGGGCTGTGTCAGGGCTGCTTTATACACAGAGAAAAAGTTGATTTTTAACGGCAGCAGTGAAGATTTGACATTTTAGCAAATTTAGTTTGCCTGGAAAAGCTAGACATTAGCTTTACATTGGTGGATATACTCCCTGTTACCTTGTTCCTATATGGAATGTGACCATAACCCAGGAGAACTTCAGGAAATGACAGCAGTGTTGTGGAGCTGACGAGGTGTTCCTTGGCAATTGCAAGGCAGTTCCCTTTGTCTTAAATTCATGTGATATGTGGTCCTATTTCATGCAATATGGCAAGGATAATTCTGAATATATAAGGCAGCAAGAAGGTCCTCGCTCTTTATATCATTCCCTGATAAATGTAGAGTTCATCAATAAACGAGACTGTATTTGAAGGACAGGGATCAATTCAGCTCACAGCATATTATCCTGGAGTTGTGACATGCTGATATGAAATAATATTAGATCATGGAAAAATAGATCCCAATTTATTGCTCAGTGTTTGCTGTGACAAATCATTCAAGGAATAATGTCATGTCTGTTGCAAATGACTTATTTAGACTTGCAGATTTTTTGCTCGTGTCTCTTGTATTGCCATTTGGAGACCTGCAAGCTCCAGCAAGGCAGTGCTTCATGAATAATGTGGCATGGGAAGCATCTCAGATGCCAGAAATATTTTGATGCTTTTGATTACTTCCTTTCTGCAACCCTAGAATAGCAATGTGCTGTTTTTCAGGGAACTGTAAATTGAATTAGTTTTACTTACTCGGCTTTGGAGACGTTTCCTACCCTCAAAGCAAAGCTAAATGGATAGAACTGCAAAATATGATTTCTTTTCTGATACCTGTCAGTGTTTTCATAGCATCACATCAGGGAATGGTTTGGGTTGGAAGAGACCTCAAAACCCATCCAGTTCCACCCCCTGCCACAGGCAGGGACACCTTCCACTAGCCCAGGTTGCTCCAAGCCCTGTCCAACCTGGCCTTGGACACTTCCAGGGATGGGGCAGCCACAGCTTCTCTGGGCACCCTGTGCCAGGGCCTCCCCACCCTCCCAGGGAAGGATTCCTTCCCAATATCCAACCTAAACCTCCTTCCAGGAGGTGAAAAGCATCCTGGGTTTGCAGCTTTAATTCTTGCTTTTGTTGCAGGTTGTGGATAACACTCACCTGGGCATGAGCAATCAATCACCCTGCCAGAGGTTTTGCACCAAAACACGTTCTAAGGAGACAAGTACATTGAATATTGTAAAAGCAATGGCCTTAAAAATGGTTCCGTGGTGTTCTTGTGCTGTTTTCAATCTGCCAAGGAGAAATGGCATTTTTATTTAAAAATATATTTTGCAATAGTCCTGCTGGTGTCATCATCATCATCTGCACAAATTTCAGCTGACAGTTTGAAGTCAAATGGCACCTGAGAGACACTTATATTTGTCCATATGAGAGAAAATAATACATGTTCACAGCTGGATTTTACAATGATTTCTCTCTGTCAGGGCATTATTTTCACCACCAGTAGCAGACCAATGCTACAGAGACACTCCTTTATGCACTTTATCAAATGCAGTCTTCCTGAAGCACTTTTTCCTTTTGATAAACCTGTGTTCCAGGCTGAAGTAATCCAGGCTAACATTAATATATCTTATTTATGTACTTGTGAAACATCTTCAGTTACTTTATAGAACAGTTTTTTAAGCTGATGTGGAGGTGTATAACTGGCCTAAGAAGCTTTTAGCAAAAGATACCAGTTTCTTGCTCTGAATTCTTACAGAACTCTTCAACTCCACGTCCCATTATGCAGATTAATAACACTGAACACATGAATATATTTGTGTTTGTTTTATTTCTTAGATGTTTGGTA